ACTTGTGGCTTCAACACCCTTCAGCAACCCACATAGCAGCTGGGCCCTGGATTAAGACCCCAGTCTGCCTTCAGCTGGCGCTGGTGTGTCTGCTGGACTGGGCAGTGAGTGGGGAAGGAGCATCTGTCTATAAACCTCAGCTCCTCTAGGCCTGCCCGGTTTCACTGCCTGGTGCCCACCTCTGTCTCAGGGATGGATCCAGGCAACCAAAGGAAATCTTGAATATCTGAGAGGCAAGTGGCCGAAGAAGCTTAAACCACAGAGGGATCCCAGCCTTGAATCTCAGCCTTGATCAATGTCACCCTCCCACCCACGAGCCTGTTGCTCCCAAACTTCCAAGTTCAGGCTCCAGCTTTTCAGGGCCAGGCTGGGGCTGGGCAGAAAGGTGTGAGGAGGGCTGGAGGGGTGAGGGGGGGCTAAGGATTTGGCCCTGGACTCAGTGGGCCTAACTGAGGTTGTGCTCTTGGAACGCCCTCTGCATCCTGCAAGACTGGCTCCTTTCCCAAAGCAGGGCGCTGGGCCAGGAGCCGCCAACCCGGGCCTGGGCGCGGGACCGAAGCCCGCCCCGCCCCTGCAGGGCGCTTCGGCGTTGCGGAGCCTCGCGGGGCCACCCTGGCAGCCCCTGGCAGGGACTCAGCCCCGCAGCTCCCCCCAGGACGCAGAGGCTCCTGCCTGCTGCGGGCCCGGGGGTGGGGGTGGGGGGCGTGGGATAACCACAGGGGCTGGGGCCGCTGCAAACCACAGAAATGACAGTGCGCTGGGAGAGCTGGGTGGCATCCCAGGCCCAGGCCACCCACTTGTTTTGTTTTCTGCTCTGAACCAGGGCTTGAGTTTTCTCCTTGGACCCTGGGAATTTGGGGACTCCCTGCCCGCGGGGCCGCCGCTTCCCGCGACTCCTCCCCCTGGCAGGTTGGGCCCCCTTCCCCCTCCCTCCCCCACCCCTCTTTTCCGGGCAGATCTCCCTGCCGGGGCAAAGGCGTGAGGACTGCAGGCAGAGAACCCCTCCCGCGGGTCGCCCGCAGAACCCCCCGCTTGAGGCAACCCGGCCCCGCGGCTGCAGCGCGCAGCGCAGTTCCCCTGCGGGGTGAGCGCGGGCTCCCAGGCGCCGCGGCCCCGTTTTTTGGGGAGGCAAAGGGTGGGAATGGGGGTGGGGGTGCCGGCCGCGGGGGGGACCCCACTTGACCGTCGTTTCGATAGAATTCTGGGGTGGGGGACGGGTCCAAAGCCCCGGCTCCTTCCCCTGTCAATGCCCAGAACCCTTTTTATGGAGAAGACAGGAACCGAGATTCGATCCTGGAATCCGAAGCTGAAGGCACCTAGTGCCGCCCCGAACTGCAGGAACTGCAGAACTCGCGACATCAGAATCTCGAACTGCAGCCCGCGACATCAGAATCTCGGACCCGCGGGTGTGGGGAGATGGGAGAAATCAATGTAAGCTCACAAGCCACTTGCGAGGCACGGTCTGAAGTGTTTTCAGAACTCATTCAGTTAGGAGATTTTTAACTGGCTTCCCTCAATAGGCAAACAAAACACACCTAAAGCAAAAATCCTAAACTCGGGTTTTTTTTTTAATTTAAAAATTGAAATTGTAAGTAAATTCCCGGTAATTGAATTCATAAACTCTCTGTGGAGGTTTTACGTTCATTTAGCACACGAATTGTTTCAGTCTGCTTTGAAAGAACTAAGCAAACCCCTTATCTTTCCTTTTTTTTTTTTTTAATTCAGAGGCTATGGGCAGCATTTTTTATAGTATGTCTTTTTTTTCCCCCGAAAGAATTTGTAGTGTCCATTTGCTCTCACTCGCTGGCCAAAGAAAAAGCCAAAGTACTTTTTATGCATAATACAGGTAATTTTTGGAAGCATTAAAATACTTTTCTTTCTTTCCCTAGGATAATTCGGAACCCTGACCAATGACAATGCGGCACTTCAAAAGAAAATACACGTTCTCCAGGACACAACATCCCTAAAATTCTATGTCTGAGATAACAGTGGGGGAAAAAAAGTGGCAGGCACCTGTTTCTGACACAGGAGATGGAATTTAACCGCTAGCTGGGAAAGGAAAAGTTTGGTTTAAAAATGACTTGGGGGATGGGTAATATTTAAAGAAGAGGGGACTTTTTTTTTCCCACTACACCCTGAGAATAAGCAAATCAAAAAGAGCAAGTTAATTTATCTGCTCCGAGACTCAGCTTTAATACTTAAACCGGAGCACATGCCTCCAAGCCTCTTGGCAGTTTATTTTGGAAACGCGAGCAGAACGGGCAAAGTGACTTTTGCTCGGTTCTCCACTGCCACAGTGAAAAATCATTCTTGCTGTTCATCATGCGGATGGAGTGATGAATGAATGCGGAAGGAGTCCCGAATCCACACGGAGAGAGGGGGTGGGGGAGAGGGTACGCAGGACCACCAGGTCAGTCCCTTTTACATAAAACAAAATCATCGAATCAAAATCGTACGGTCTTCCTTCATTCATCGGACTGCACGAAGACGGTATTTCCTTTCAAGGACCGAAAAACGTCCTTCCTCACCCCATCCCCTTATTTTGGGTGGGTCGGGAAGAATCTGAGCTCACCCCAGGGCAAGGTTCTAGGCTTGGCCAGGACTGGCGCTGAGCAGCTCCCACTGTGTCCAACAGGGGGCGCTGGGCACGAACCTGCGCGGCCGCTCAGCGCCGCTTCGCATCTGAGCCGGGTTCCAAGCCCGGGAGGCGAGAGCCGCTCGCGGGGTCGAGTGCAGAGCTTTAGTCTTCGTGGATAAAAAGAGATTAAAGGCTAAATTTTTCTGCTGCTTCTTTTTTATTTTTTTTTATTTGAGGGGGGGGGCTGTGTGTGTTTGTGTGTGCGCGTGTGCGCGCGCGCGCGTGTGTATCAATTTTAACCAACTACGAAAATGTGGAGCTTTTTCATCCTTTGATGTTCTCATAAAGAAACTCCCATCGGCTGAGGAATTACACGATTCCTGAGCCAACGCGGCGGTTCGAGTGTGGGGGAAATTATTTAATTAAAAAATATATTTTTCCATCTGCTCACATGATCTTTTTAGAAGTGCTTAAAAAGCTGACACTGATCCCTTTGGCCTGTTCACCCTGCTCCAAGTTTCAAATACTTTTCGCTATTTCCAAGGTCCTTCTATTAACTCGAAGTGGGGGGGAAATATCCAAATACTTAAATCCCTCCCCAAACAGTTACTCCTCTGCGTTTCTCCCCCCCGCCCCCACCTTCCTTTAAACAGGGATTTTGACGGGATTGACTGACACATTTCACACTGCTGATTCTGCAAAGCCAGGTATAAATGACAAGAACAGCGCTTAAAAAAAAAAGCTGTTGGGCTACACAACACCCGTGTATAAGATGAAATTTAAATAAAATTGTAATCCACCACCCCCACCCCAACTTAAAAAAAAAAACAACCCTTCACCTGTATTTAAATAGCGTGTCTTTAATTACAGCGGTCGGGGATGCATGAGGCTGAAATGAAATTAGCAGTCATTACCAGTCCTTTAACTCTGTGGTGCTTTTGATCAGCACTAAATTAGCTTTCCAGTCCTAACAAAGACTCTACAGCAAGCAGTGGGCTGTAAATAAGACAGCGCGACCTGCCCTCCACACCTTTTCTCTTGTCAATCATAGCTCTATCATTCAGCCCAAGATTAACCTTTATCTACCAAATTTTTTTTTTCTAAAAAGGAACGAAAGAAAGAAGAAGAAAGGAGAAAGAAAAAGGAGGCGGGAAGGAAAGCCCCCTGACCAGCGCATGTCGCAATGACAGAGGTTGCTAAGAGCCCCCTTTAAATTGTATTCTAATGAGCCCGTGTCAGAATCTGCAATTTCCAAATCATTCCTCCCCACCCCCCACCCCCCACCCACCCCCTGCACCTCTTGGCTACATCGGGAGCCAGGATGCAGTTCAGGTAGAGGAAGGAATCCCTTTCCCCCCCACCCCCCAACTGGGCATGTGGTACCCACCCCCCCACCCCCAAGTCAAGTCAGCTTGCCCCCCGTCGCTCCTCCTCTATTAGTCGAACGAAATTCGGGAGAGGAGGGGATGTTTGGGGAGGAAACACGGACAACCTGAAGGCCTAAGGCACGAGTTTCTGGCGTGAAAACCATCGATTCACCCCCACGAATCGCCCGCAGTTTCCAAGTCTGCGGAGGGAAAAGCCACCAGCCGCGACAACAAAACCCGGCGGCTCTCGCCCGCGCCGGGCCGGAGCAGTGACGCGCCAGTGCCAGCTGCCATCAGAGGGCGCTCGAGAGCAAGCCCCGTCGCCCCTCGGCTCAGCTCGCCGCGGGCGCTCGCCCAAGCTTCCAGCTTCTCCAGGCTCTGCGAGTCCTGCTCCCAGGTGGTACCCCTGGCGGCTTATCCTGCGCGCTCGGATTTCTGGCCCCGCCGATGCTCATCCCACATAAAAAACGAGGCTTTAGCAAGTCCCCTTCCTCTCCCTTTTTCACCCCTCCCCGCCCAAACCGTAAGGCACCGGGTGAAATTGGAGTCCTACTTCCAGCACAGGTACCGTAGGACTCCACGCACCCTGGGTCTGGAGAAAGCTCTTTGTAGGGGTAAAATGCTTGAATTTTAAAAAAATTTTCTTTTAAAAACTGTTAGTCTGAATTTCTCATTTCTGCCTTGCTATCTGGGAGCTCACAGATTTTTTTTTTAATTTTAAATTTTCATAGGAATGCCCTCTCCCCCCCTCCCCGTGCCCCCTAGCAAGGGAACTGATTATGTTTAGCACTAAAATTTTTCAGGAGAGAAGAAAATGTCACTTCATTTCGGCATTTGTTAAAGAAATCAAAATTAGCATTTAATTCCCAAAGTTAACGCTTTAAGACTTAAGTCTGCCTGTGTTAAATGACTGCCACACAGGGTGTTTCCAGATCTCTTAAAGGTCAAAAGAAAAAAAAATAGAATGAGAGGGAAAGAAAGTGAGTGGGGGGTGGGGGGAGGCGGAGAGGAGTGAGCTAGCAGTGAATGTCAAAGTTGGGTTGCAAGCTACTTACATGTCCATGCCAGATCAGGGTGTTGTCTTGTAGCAGTTTGATTGGCAGGTAAAAAAGCAAAGAACGTGAGGGCTCCCTGAGCCTCTTGTCAGCCCAAGCTTGATCACTTCTCACCGGACAGACCGAGTTGAAGGAGCTTGCAGTTCCCCTCTCGTCCTCCATCCAAGGCACCGTGAATCCATTTCGGCTTTTCTTCGCCCCAGTTTCTCCATCAGCCTCCTGCCTTCACCCTCATCGCCTTACACCAGCCTCCAAGACCTAGCCTAGCTTTGCCACTGCAATCCCCTGCAACAAGAAAAATCGTTTATGGCTTAAAACCCCAAATGGCTGATTTTTTAAAAGAGAGAGAGAGGGAGAGGGAGAGAGAGGAGAGAGAGGGTGAGGGGGAGAGAGAGGGGGAGCGAGAAGAATGCATCCAGAGAACAACAAAAAAGTCAGTTATCCTAACACTGCTCTATCCCCCCACCGTACAGAAGAAGAATAAAAAAAAAAGCTTTATGTTTTTTCAGTGGGTATTCAAAGATAATTTGATGCCATTGTTTCTGCTACAGATGGTTCTTTTAAATACAATAACACGGCTCTTTGTGCAGACTCCCCACAATAAAAATCGAAAGCGTTCCCCTGAATAACCATTTTGTTCTCTCTTGTATGGGGCCAACAAAAGATGCCGTGAGGTAATGGGTTCTGTTTATTGAAGCCATAGAATAGAGGTTTGATAAAGATTTTTTTTTTTAAAGCAGAAGACCTTGCAAGGTCGGGCTGATCTCTTCATATATTTTTTTTATTAAAATATTTGTCCAGTAGATTATTCCTTGGTGCAGCTGCAGGTTTTCTCAATTCCTAATCAGCCCAAACATCTGTCTCTTGGAGGACGCTTTAGGAAAAAAAAATCAATTGTATCAATGGTGCAGTAACCTAATCAAATCCTGAGTTTGTAGGCTTAGTGGAGGAGAAGGCAATGGAGTTTCGGTTCTATTTTAGGGTGAGGCGGCAGATTGGGAGAGAGGAAACTCGAGTACGCCAGACAGAGCACTGGAGAGAAGGGGGCTGCCTCTGGTCCCTTCACACACACACCCACCACCCCCCTCCCCCGGGCTCCCCGACCCCCTCCCCCACCCAGGCACAACTGTGGGACCAGACCCACAGATCATGGAGGACTTCGGGTTTGTCTGATCTCGGCAGTCTCTTCCCTGGTGTGCATTCGGGGCGGGGGCGAGGCATGTTTCTGTCTCATGTTTGCCCTCCTCTGTGGGTCTCCAATCCCTGCAAACCCAGCAAATGCAGGCAGGAGCCCAGGGGGAGGAGTGGAATAGTGGAATAAGCTAAAGGTTAGACTCCGGCACCCAAAGGATCCTTCTCTGGGCTCAGGCGTGCTGGGGGCTTACTCCTGGCTCTGTACTCAAGGATCACTCCTTGGTGGTGTTTGGAGGATCACATGAGGTGCGGGCATGGAACCCCAGTCAGCCATGAGCTAAGCATGCGGCCTACCTATTGTACTATCTCTCCGGCCCCTGAACGCTGGTTTATTCCCATAGGCTAGCTCAGACTCAGGGATTGCTCCTGCCAGGACAAGGGTGTTCACTGTCTCCTTCCCTGAGGCTCGGCCTTACAGCCAGACAGCCAGCCTCCACCTTGTGTGTGGGCGCGTGTGTGTTGGGGTGGGGGGGGGTGGGGGAATCTGCTTCCTACTCCTGACAGAGGAGGAGTTGCTCAACTTTGAAGAACTGCACCTTCAGGCAATGGGAAATCTGTAGGGAAATTGGGGGTGGGAGGTGTGTGTCCTCTAATCTCTCTTTCTTTCTTTCTTTCTTTCTTTCTTTCTTTCTTTCTTTCTTTCTTTCTTTCCCTCCCTTTTTTCTCTTTCTTTCTCTCTTTCTCTCTTTCTTTCCTTCCTTCCTTCCTTCCTTCCTTCCTTCCTTCCTTTCTCTCTTTTTTCCTTTCCTTCCTTCCTTCCTTCCTTCCTTCCTTCTTTCCCTTCCTTCCTTCCTTCCTTCCTTCCTTCCTTCCTTCCTTCTTTCCCTTCCTTCCTTCCTTCCTTCCCTCCTTCCTTCCTTCCTTCCTTCCTTCTTTCCCTCCCTTCCTTCCTTCCTTCCTTCCTTCCTTCCTTCCTTCCTTCTTTCCCTTCCTTCCTTCCTTCCTTCCTTCCTTCCTTCCTTCCTTCCTTCCTTCCTCCCTCCCTCCCTCCCTCCCTTCCTTTCTTTCTCTCTTTCTTTCTTTCTTTTGCAGGGGGAATCCACCTGGCTGAACTCAGGGCTTTCTCTGGCTCTGCACTCAGGAACCACTCCTGGTGGTTGTCAGGGTAGCATTTGGGATGCTGGGGTTCCAACCTGGGCGAGACAGATGCAAGGTGAGCATATGTGCTACACTATCGCGCTGGCCCTGAGGTGTGTGTCCCTTTTTTTTAGGCATGACTGCCAGGGCTCTTCAAAAACAGTGAATGACTGTAATCTACTTCCATGACAGCTTTTTTGTTTGTTTTTGTTTTCCAGCCATGCTCAAGGTTTAACCCGGCTGTCTGTGCTCAGGGATCACTCCTGAATCAAACCTGGGTTGACCACATGCAAGGCAAGTGCCCTGCCCACTGTCCAATCACTCCAGTTCCCACTCACATGACTTCTGCTCTCTTTGTTTTCACATATGGCTAGATAATAGTCTGGGAAGAGGTTTAGCTTTATTTATTTATTTATTTATTTATTTTTGGAAACAAATAGATTTTATTTGGAGGATTTTTAAGGTGTGGAGGGGGAGAGAGAGAGAGAGAGAGAGAGAGAGAGTAAGAGAGAGTAACGTACTCAAGACAGAACACAGGCTTCTCCAAGGATGGAGAGAGCACCTACACACATCCTAGCATTAGACATGAAAGCATGAAAGTACACATCTCAAGAGGGAAGATGCGGGCAATACATGTGCTCAGCCCACATGTGCTCGGCCACGTGGGCGCAAGCAGCACATGAGCTCAGGCAGCATATGTGCGCCGAAGAGCTTTAGCTTTAAAACTAAGTCTCCATTGGGTTCAGTCTCCAGGTCCTTGCTCTACTGCTCTATTCCGTCCTCCTTTTCTTCCCATGAACCATGCAGGAGAAAAAAAAGATAAATGCTCAAATAATGAATTCCTGGACAAAATGGTCTGAACTTCAACTTTTCGTTTTGGTGACATTCATGGTTCTCGGTTCACACCGTGTTTGAGAATCATCTAATAAGGGATTCATGGGGGATTATTACACACGATTAGGACCTGGCTTGGGAAATCTGGAAAACCAACACCACCACCAAAACAGGACATTTTTCTATGGCTGTTCAAACACCTAAATGTCAGTCCAAAAAAGAATGGCAGTCAGCACTATAACAAGGTGCTTCCGCATACCCCAGTCCTCTCAAGATCCAAAAAAAAAAAAAAAAAGCCTAGACTAGTGTGAATGTGTCAGAGAAGGGGATAAGAGGGGTTGAAGGTCAAGAGTAACTCTGTCACAGACCAGGCTAAGGAACTGTGCATGGGTGCCAAAGGAGTGTGGCATTCTGCAGAATTGAAAAGTCACAGTAGAAACACTTCTCCGAGCTGAAGGTGGTGTGAGAGAGGGCAGCTGTGCAATGTTTTGCCCAGAGTGTTCTCACTTTGCAGCACAAAAGCAACCTATGGAATTAACATAGCCATCTCCTCCCGCTCTCTAGTTTATATAGGTCCTTGGACATTACAACTCATGAAGGATGCCCCCTATCTGAGAAAAGCTATCTTTCTTTTTATTATGAATTGAAAGAAGAATCTGAACTGTGGGCCCCAGGAGTTTGGGGGCGTCAATCTAAATCTGTAAGCTAAGAAAGTACTCTAGTATACTGTCTAAGATAGCTGAAGGGCAAGTAACTCATCAACGGCTTCTCCCTTCAGTCTAGGAAAATTAAAAACCTCTCTGTTTCTTTCGAGAGATCAGGAAGTCTTGTAGACAAGACCCCCAAAGTTGTCTTAAAATTGGAATGTATTGACTACTTGGCATGGGAGATGTTAGTCTTTAAGAAATGTTGTCATGGTGACACACTGCCTTTGGGAAGTGGTGGAATCAAGAGCAAGTTCTGCAACTGGAAATCTGCTTACAAGAATCTGTGTCCAGAAACTGAGTTGATTGATCAGCTTTTTTTTTTTTTTTTTTTGACAAAAAAGACACCAAAAGAGATTCTAGGTCATAGAGTCTGCTTTTTAACATAGTTGGAGGGAAACCTGGGAAGGGCTTAAGGACATTAAGGTGGTTCTGTATTGGAAACTTCACTGTTCAGATGCGCTATGAGGTAATGGCTGAGTTCGCCAATTCTGCACTCTGTCCTGGGGAGGGGTGTGTGTGTGTGTGTGTGTGTGTGTATGTGTGTGTTGGGGATACCTTCATTCCCATAAACACAGGTGGTGTACTGTGAGTAGATGGCATTCATCATTCAAGGCTCAGATGGAAGGAGGGAGGAAGGGAAGGGAAGGAAAAGGAGGAGAGGGGAGGGAAGGAAGGAAGGGAAGGAGGGAGGGAGGAAGGAAGGAAGGAAGGAAGGAAGGAAGGAAGGAAGGAAGGGAGGAAGGAAGGGAGGAAGGGAGATAGGAAGAAAGAAAGGGAGAAAGGGAAAAAGAAAGGGAGAAAGGGAAAAAGAAAGGAAAGAGAAAGAAAGAAAGAGAAGGGAAAGAGAAAGAAAGAAAGAAAGAAAGAAAGAAAGAAAGAAAGAAAGAAAGAAAGAAAGGGATACTGAATGGGACTAGTGGTGAAGGGAGATAGCAAGAGGGGCCCAGACTCTTGTTTTTTTCTTGTTTTTTTTTTTTAACCGCCGAGTGCAGCCTATGAGCAAACAATACGCCCGACCGGGGTCTGCAAGTTCAGGGCTGACTGTGTCATGCTTTAGCCATCAGCTGCTGGGAAAGCTGTTGCTTTCCTCTCCCTAAGCAATCAATCATCCACTAATTGGCACCTCTGCTCTTTCCACCCACGTGGAAAGGCCTCGCGGGCTGCCCGCAAGGGTCTCGTCCCCACGTCCAGGCGTGCAGCGTCATCTCGGCACCGGGCCCTGGCTCTAGGCGTGCAGGGGTGGCCTGGGGGGGGGGGGGGGGGGGGGTTGGGTGGTACGCGAGCTCCGGGGTGGGTAGGCTCCCTGCACCCTTCGGGAATCCTGCAGCCACGCTAAGGATCCGAGGAAAGCGATGCTTGGGGCCCGCTGCTAAGGGCCGCAGCTGCGAGAGCGACGACGTCCACGCGGGCCTGAGACCCCGACGTTCCCATCGGCTCGCCCGGGACGTGGCCAGGATTCACGTGGACAGAGCGCCGCGCCCGCTCCGCTCTTGCCCCCCCACCGCGCCGAGATCCAAGGGGGCTGCGCTTGCTTGAAATCCCCGGGGGAGCGCGATCAGACAGCAGGGGGGCACCCCCGGGAAGGGACAAGCAGTCCTGCCCGGCTCGCGTGGCTTCCCCCTCCCGCCCGGGCGCGCGTGCGCGTGGGCGCAGCTGGGGAGACGCATTGTCAGGGCCCGTCAGTTTCGGCCGGGTGCGTTCCCAAGGCTCTGCGCGAGCCGGGTCCGACCCCCCTTCCCCCCCAACCGCCAGTGATGCTGCCCCCGAGGGCCGGGTGAGCACGGGCGGCGCTGGCTGG